TCAAGCTCACCAGTCACTCTTTGGAAACCCTGTATAAGGTTGCTATGGGTCGGATACAACGCGACGAAACTTAACAACAACAATGTTTCTCTTGCCACCTAATCACTGGAGTAAAGATTACTTTTCCAAACCTACTTTGCTTCTAGATGAGGTAAACCATTGGGCCACTGAGAAATGAATGCAAGTGGTACATGAATGTTTCCAAGCAACCTTTATAACAAGCGATTGATTGGCACATATCCCCGCCTTACTCCCTCCCCCTCTCTACACTTGTCCCTGTGTTTCCTGTAACAATTCCCCCTCCATGGTCTAACATAGAGCTCACACGGCCCAAGCTCTAGGATCAGCTTTCAGCTCTACCAGTGGCCACCACATCCCTTGGTCAGTTGTTGATGGCTCTTCGTGCTCTGAACCTTCTTCTGCGCTCCAGACTTGAAGCCCTGATGATTCTCTCTTGAATCCTTTTCCTGAGGAGCCGTTCTTTAACCAGCAGCCCCACTATGGCCACCAAGATGAGGACAGCCATGCCAGTCCGAAAGAGATTCTGGGCAGTGTGATCCCAGAAGGCAAGCTCTAGGGCCACAAGAACAGAGTGATCACTGATGGGAACATACATACCTCACCACAACTGCTTTCTCCTCTCCTTCCCGAATGATGCTTCTTGCTCAGCTTCTTTCTTTAGCACCAACAGTGCATGCTTACTTACCCTTCGGGAAGCCTGCCTCTGTGGATGTGGGGAGGATGTCCCAGGAGTCTTCTCCTGATAAACAGGAAAGTGAAGAAGAGAAGAAAAGAAGATGGCGTTGGATTCCTCCATCCAACCTCTCCGTCCCTTGGAGATAGATATGCCATGATATTTTGTAAGGCCCCATCCCACATTTTGGGATCCTAGTGGCTTCATTTAGCAGGTAGGGTGGAAGAGTCAAAAGATAGACAACGCTGAAGAAGAACTGAGCTCTGGAATTAATATGTTGTGTATCTTCACGCAAGTCACAGCTTCTATCCAAGTCTTATTTCCCTCATTAAATCAATATAGTTTCTTCCTCCTCACACACAGTAAAATTCAAAGTCTTACCTTGTTTAATCAAGGACTTAAATGAAGTACTAGGAGCCATGAGTTACATGTTGGGCTGCTAACTGCAAGACCAGCAGTCGAAATCCACCAGCGGGAGAAAAATGAGGCTGTCTGTGCCTTTAAATTAAAAAAACACCCAGAAACCAGTTGCTATCCAGCTGATTCTGATTCATAGTGAGCCTATGCGGTGTTTCCAAGGCTGCAAATCTTTATGAGAGCAGGAAACCTCATCTTTCTTCCACAATGAAGCTGGTGGTTTGGAACCGCTGATCTTGTGATTAGCAGTGGCTCAACGTACAAGCCACTCTACCACCAGGATTCCTATAAAGATATATAGCTTCAGAAACCCTAGTGGGCAGTACCACTCTCTCCTACAGGGACACTATGAGTTCAAATCAACTTGATGGCTTTTGTTGTGGCTATTGGCCGTTGAGCCGGTTCTGACTCATAACGACCCTATATAGGATTTCCGAGAGGTGGGTTTGAACTGCCATCCTTGTGGATACCCATCCAGTGCTTATCTTACAGCACCACCCCAGGGATCCATTTGATGACTTCTTGTTGTTGTTAAGTGCCATCAAGTCAGTTCTGACTCACAGTGACACTGTACAGGGAGTCCTGGTGTGGCACTGTGGGTTAATGCACTGGATTGCAAAGTCCACTAGAACCAGGAGGCCTGTGGCTCAAGCTCACCAGCTGCTCCTCTGAAAAACTATTCAGGGTCGCTATGGGTCAGAACCGACTCGATGGCGCTTAACAACAACAACAATGTAGGGTTTCTGAGGAGCACATTGTGGGTTTGAACCACTGACCTTGAGGTTCAAAGTGACCTTGCAGTCCAGTGTTTATCCTACAGTGCCACACCAAGGCTCCAGTGTATAGTAAAATGTAAAAGGCAGCATGAGAAGACCAAGAAGTCAAATATTATAATGAAATGTGGAAAGTTCTGGAGTCAGAAACCCAAAAGAGAAGAAGGACACGCTCGGTATTCCTCAAACCAAGGGAACTGAAGAGCAAATTCAAGCCTTGACTTACAATATTAAAGGATTCTATGTGCAAAATACTGAACGATGCAGAAAGCATCAAAAGAAGATGGAAGGAATGTGAAGAGTCACGGTACCAAAAACAAATGGTCAATGCTCCGCCATTTCAAGAGGTAGCATGTGATCAAGAGCCAATGACACTGAAGGAAGAAGTTCAAGGCACATTGGAGGCATCGGTTAAAAAAAAACAACAAAAAAACCCAGGCACCGGGAATAGATGAAATACAAATTGAAATCTTTCTAGAAACTGATGCACAGTGGAGACACTCACTCATCTATGCCAAGAAATTTGGAAGACAACGATCCGGCCAACTGAATGGAAGAGAGACGTATCTGTGCCTATTCCAAAGAGGTGACCCAGTAGAATGTGGAAATCATCAGATGATACCATTAGTATCGCAAGCACAATTTTGCTAAAGATCATTCAAAAACGTCTGCAACCACATATTGACAGAGAACTTCCAGAGGTTCAGGCTAGATTCAGAAGAGATCATGGAACAAGAGATATTACTGCTGGAATCAGATGGAACTTAGCTGAAAGCAAGGAATACCAGAAATATGTTTACTTGTGTTTTATTGACTATACAAAGTTTTTTGATTGTGTGGATCATGACAAACTATGGACAACATTGCGTATTGCGGAGAATGAGTTTTCCAGAAGACTTAATTGTGCCCATGAGGAATCTGTACATAGACAAAGAGGCAGTTGTTTGAACAGAACAAGGAAACACTGAATGGTTAAAAATTAGCAAAGGTGTGTGACAGGGTTGTATTCTTTTATAATATTTATTTGATATGTATGCAAAGCAAATAATCTGAGAAACTGGATTACATGAAGAAAAATGTGACATCAGGATTGGAAGAAGACTCATTAACAACCTGTGATAACCAGATGATACAACCTTGCTTTTTGAAAGCGAAGAGGACTTAAAATTCTTATGGATAAAGATCAAGACCAGAGCCTTCGGTGTGGGTTGCACCTCAGTGGAAAGAAAACAAAAATCCTCACCATTGGACCAATAAATAGCATCCATATAAATGGAGAAAAGATTGAAGTTGTCAAAGACTTCATTTTGCTCAGTTCAATCATCAACACTCATGGAAGCGGTAGTCAAGAAATCAAACCATTGCATTGGGCAAATCTGCTGCGCAAGACCTCTTTAAAGTACTGAAGAGCAAAGATGTCAGCTTGAGGACACCAACTGCTCCTCTGAAAAACTATTCAGGGTCGCTATGGGTCAGAACCGACTCGATGGCACTTAACCCAAGTGCACCTGGCCCAAGTCATGGTATTTCCAATAACCTCATATGCATGTGAAAGTTGAACAGTGAATAAGGAAGACTGTAAAAGGATTGATGCATTTGAGTTATGGTGTTAGAGGAGATTATTGACAGTACCATGGACTGCCAAAAGAACCAATAGATCCGTGTTGGAAGAAGTGCAGCCAGGATGCTCCTTGGAAGCCAGATGGCCAGACTTCGGACATATTATCAGGAGGGATCAGTCCCTAGAGAAGGATATCATGTTTGGTAAAGTGGAGTTTCAAAGAAAAAAGGGAAGACCCTCTACGAAATGGATTGACACAGTGGCAACATCAATGGGCTCAAATGAGCAACGATTGTGAGGTTGGCACCGAACTGGGCAGTGTATCGTTCTGTTGTGCAGAGGGTCGCTACGAGTTGGTACCAACTCAGTGGCACCTAACAACAACAACAACAACAAATCAGAACTGATTCAATGGCAGTGAGTTACTGTGCTCTATAATTCATTTAGTTAGGCTGACTTTGACTTAGGATCCAGTTCCTCCTGCTAGAACACAGGCCCCTCGGACACAAGGCTAGTTGCCTGTTAGGTGAGCTGATTTAGCCATAGCCCCTGGCCTACACTGGGGACTCAATGAATGTGCAGAATGCATACGATTTCTGCAGTGTTTGGGGAAGCTCTAGCTGCGGTCAAGGTCAATCGTAGAGGGGTCAGTTACTCACCAGTAGAAGAGGTGGAGACTGTTGTTACAGGAGTGCTGTTTCCAATCAACGCTGGACATGGTGACAAGAAAAAAAGGAACAGATTTGCGTTTCTGCAAGTCTCCTCATCTATGTGTGTCTTTGGGTAGTTGCGAGGCAGTTAATTTTTGATGATGGCCCTTCTAACCAAATTTCTCCATTTTGGGAGAAATCCTAGTCTGTAGACCTGTAATTGAAGTCCTGGTATGGAGCTATTTAGGATAAGCATTTGACCACTGTAAGTAGCAAGGTCGGGGGTTCAAACCCACCAGTTGCTCCTTGGAAACCCTGTACAGGGTCACTATGAGTCAGAACTGACTCGAAGGCACTTAACAATATCAACAACAACATACCTCTGATTCTGGATCCATTTTGAAATGAGTTGCTAAAGATAAAGATTATAGCAGGGTTAAGGAATAAAGACTGCAGCGGTAGAGTTGAAGCACAAGGAGCTCTGGTAGCGTAATGGTTATGAGTTGGGCTGCTAACCTCAAGGTCAGCAGTTCGAAACTACCAGCACTTCCACAGGTGAAACATGAGGCTTTCTGCTCCCGTAAAGATTTACAGCTTCGGAAACTTTATTTCAGGGTCTCTATGAGATGGAACCAACTCCACGGCACACCGCCACCAGAGGTACTTCAGAAGAAAGTTCTGATGACCCACTTCAGCCATTAAAACCCTATGAAGTCCAATTCAATTTTGGCACACACATGGTCACCATGCATTGGAGTCTACTTCACAACATCTGGTTTGGTTACCTACCGCCTACACCCTCCGCCTCCCTGGTCCTTTGGTTCTTTTCCTCATGAATGACCAACTAGCTTCTAGGAAGGAAATGCAGTAAGGACCGGTATCTGGCAGCATTTTCTGAGTATCCCTTAGCCCACCTTTCCCATCATTGGCAGAGGTGGGCGTAGGGGTCCAGGGAGGACTAGAGGAACACTGAGGGTGTTCTCACCTGTGACTCGGAGCTCCACCGGTGGACTGGGGAAAGACCATGCGAAGTCGTTGTAAGAACCAAAGCATCTGTAAGTTCCTCTGTGGGCTGGCGTCATGGGGCCCATGGAGAAGACTGCCTGTTGTTTCCCGTATCTTTGTTGTGGGAAGCTGGATCTTCTTCCCTCCTTGAGTAGAAAGAATGTGTTGGTTGCAGTTTCCAGGCTACAGTGGAAGGTCACGCTCTCTCCTAAGATCACTTGAGGCCCAGGCTGCACCGAGAGGGTAGGTACATCATACATCCCTGAAAGGTAAAGACATCTTTATCTCATCACCTGTTAACTGTTATGTGTTGAATTGAGCACCCCAAATAGGTGTTGGAATCTTAACCCACAGTATAATGTGGATGTGATTCCAAGTGGAAACAGGGCTCTTGCTCTTGTGTGAACAAATCCATACCAATGTAGGTTGTAGCTCAAACCAATCACTTTTTTTCCCTTTTGGCAAAAATACACACAAGCATACACCATTAACAACCTGCAATATGCAGATGATACAACCTTGCTTGCTGAAAGTGAAGAGGTCTTAAAACGTTTACTGATGAAGATCAAAGAGCATAGTCTTTGGTATGGGTTGCATCTCAATGTAAAGAAAGTAAAAATCCTCACCACTGGATCAATAAACAACATTCTTATCAACAGAAAAAAGACTGAAGTTGTCAAGGACTTCATTCTTCTTGGATCAACCATCAACACTCATGGAAGCAGCAGTCAAGAAATCAAAGGACATATTGCATTAGGCAAATCTGCTGCACAAGACCTTTTTAGAGTGTTGAAGAGCAAAGGAGTGCTCACAACTGAATCCCTCTTTGGCAATTGTCCTAGGTCAGTGGTTCTGAGTTTGGTCCTTGGACCAGCAGCATTAACATTATCTGAAACTTTGTTAGAAACACACATTTCCAGATTTCATCTCAGACCCACTGTTTAGCCTCAAGTACTGTTTGCTGACAAGAAATCCCAGCAGCGGATAGCTTTAAAGAACTGAAATGTACGTCCTCAGTCTTTTCTGACTCATAACAACTCTGCTTAGGGTTTCCGAGGAGCAGCTGGTAGGTTTGAACCACCGGCCTTGTGGTCCACAGTCCAGTGCTTATCCTACAGCACCACAACAGGAGTCTGTTTATGAAATTAGAAGTCTGAATTTAGGGCACCAATTCTATTTCTGTCTGTTCACAGGGCAAATCTTTGTCTTAATTTCTTTAATCTTGGTATTCTTGGGTTCCTGGGTGATCTCCTCTTGGCCTCTAGCTTTCTTCTTTTGTCCTTGGGTCTCTCTGTGTCTAATCTGCTCTTTTGGTATTTCAAGTGTCATTAGGAGTCCTGGTGTGGCGCTGTGGGTTAATACACTGGACTGCAAGGTAGGTTTGAGCCACAAGGTCGACGGTTCAAGCTCACCAGCCGCTCATTGGAAATCCTATGCTGTTGTTGTTGTGAAGTGCCGTCAAGTCGGTTCTGACCCATAGCAACCCTGTATAGGGTTTCTGAGGAACAGCTAGTGAGCTTGAACTGCCAACCTTGCAGTTCAAACGGCTTTACAGTCTGGCGCATTAACCTAGTGTCACACAGGGTCATTATGAGTCAAAACAGACCCAACAGCACTTAACAGCAACAACTACACTGCAATGGGTCCTGGTGGTACAGTGGTTGAGCATTCAGCTGTTAACTGAAAGGTGGGAGGTTTGAGCCCACCAACTGTCCCTCGGGAGAACAATGTGACAGTCAGTTTCCGTAAAGATTATAGTCTTGAAAACCCTATGGGGCAGATTTACTCTGTGCCCTTAGGGTTGTGACACAGGGGGGGAAAACAGACCCCATCTTCCAAGACTCTGACCATTAGTCAGCCTTCAGGTCTAGAAATGAACTCACCCCCATGGTACAATTTTCAGCCAAACAATAGGGATGTCTGTAGGGGGGAAAATAACACCAAGGAAGTAGGCACACCTAAGAATAATCAACCATTTGAGATATGAAAACACAAACAAACATTTACCCAAGGACAAAGCTCTGAAAAGGAAGGGATGGAAACAGGAAACGCAGAGAGGAAGTAGGGTAGGAGATGTTACCTTGTGGGGATTGCAACCAATGAAACAAAAGGTGAGACTGGGTGAAGGGAAAACTGCTCTGTAAGCCTTCATCCAATTCACAATAAGAAGTTAACAAAAGTACATTTCAATGAACAGATCCCCATGATATGAAAATCAGGAAACAGGATTTGGTTTACTACAAGCATTGTGGGGTGAGGTGACCTTTCAGAAGTTCGTGCTGGATGAGGAGAGAAGGACCAGTTTCTCACTTGTCTGGGAGAATGAATCCCATCCTATAGGTACTGAGCACCTAGGTCCTCCTGTTGAGGGAGAAGGCCCCCACCCTAAGACCTTGAGGCCTAGGCATGAAGGAGGAAACCCCCCCCCTTAAGACCTTGAGGCCTAGGTCACACACAAAGGAAACTAACAGCCTCTGTTTTTGTAAAAATCTGCTTATCTAGGAACCGCCAATGAGAAAATAACAAGGTGGGCTTGCCACTCACCCTTTGTAATCCTGTATAAAGCTAGTATGAAAGCTATTTTGGGGAGCTCGGCATTTGAGACATTAGTCCACTGATGCTCTGCTGGCAATAAAGCCTCTTCTTTTAATATCGCTGGTATTCGGGTGATTTCTCTCTCCCGTTCGGGCATCATCTTCCTGCAGCACTGTAAACAGTGCAAACTTGTGTTCACTGAATCCAAGTGTCTCCAGACCTTAGCTTCCAAGGTTGTTTGGAGAACCAAAGGGTTCTTCCCTTTCAGAAAGAGTTCATTTTAAGGAACTGAAAGTGTTCCTTTAAAAATTGGTAGTTGGTAGGGGTTTTAAAAGCTGGTGAGCCTTAAACAATCAATAAATAAGGAGGATTCAGATGCAGACAGCACAGACCCGGTCAGGAGGCCAAGCCCCTGTGGGCCCAAGCGTTGTTGACCGTCCAAACCATATGCTCTGAGGATCAGACTCTAGCCACCTAGTAGACATAACAAACTGTCCCTCATCTGATTATTCAGTAATGCTTGTTAGTAATCTCATACATGAGCCCTGGATATCCACAGACAAATGTAAAAACTTTCCCTAAAAGCCGAGACTGTAAATTCCAATAAGCCAAGTCCCCCCACATCCAAAAAAAAAAAAAAAAAGCTAAAGAGGATAGAGAGAAACAGATGATATATGGCGGGGATAATAATCAATGTAATGAAACAAGCTATATGAATGGTTGAATGTGAAGCTGATGATGTGCCCTGTAAACTTTCACTCAATGCAAAATAAAAACATTTAATTAAAAAAAAAGCTGGTGAACAACCATCTGAGGTGCAACTATTGATCTCTCCCTATTGAAAGCAAAGTCACATGGAAGCAATGAGTCTGAGGGACGCATGGACCATTCGAACCCCAGCCTCCATGACCCCAGAAGAACTGCATGTCTCCCCACCACTATGAACAGCTCTGGAAAGGGTCACATTGGAAGAGCTTGGAGAGCATGGGAGACAAATATGGATGGAATAAAACTCAAAATCATAAAAAAAAAAAAAAGACCAGGCTTACTGGTGAGGTAGATACTGATGGAAGCCTGAGACTACTCCTTAGTAACCCTCAGGCCTAGAACTAAACTCACCCCCGGGGTTCAATCTTTTGCCAAACAATAGATAGGTCAGCTTGAGAACTAAGGTGTGCCTGACACAAGCCATGATATTTTCAATAACCTCATATGCATGTGAAAGCTGGACAGTGAATAAGGAAGACCGGAGAAGAATTGATGCCTTTAAGTTATGGTGTTGGAGGAGAATATTGAAAGTGCCATGGGCTGCTAAAAGAACCAATAGATCCATTTTGGAAGAAGTGTAGCGAGAGTGCTCCTTGGAGGCCAAGATGGCCACACTTCGTTTCTCATACTTTGGACATATCGTCAGGAGGGACCAGTCACTGTAGAAGGAAATCATGTTTGGTAAGATAGAGGGTCAGAGAAAAAGACAAAGACCCCAACAAGATGGATTGGCCAAGTGGCAGCATCAATGTGCTCAAGTGTGGCAACAGTAGTGAGGTTGGCCCCAGATTGGGCAGTGTTTCGTTCTGCTGTGCATAAGGTCGCTATGGGTCGGTACCAACTCCATGGCACCTAAAAACAACCACAGTAACAACATAAGATGAACAACAGCATCAACACAGGAGGTCTGAGTTCCATCAGACAATCAATCATTCAAGATCCAAAGGGCAGTATTCATCTGAGGACAAAGTTCAGAAGGCAGGAAGGGTTAAGAAAGAAGAGGTGGAAACAGGAACCAAGAGGTAGAGATGGGATGAGTGTGAGGATTACACTTAATGACATGAAATTAAATGTGTATGAACTGTGGAATGGAAAACTGATTTGCTCTGTAAACCTTCACCCCATTTACAATAAAAAGTTGTTTTTTTTTAAAAAGGAATCATAGTCCAACTTCTCCTTATGTTGTTCTTTCTTCTCTTACCTAACACAGGTATAGTTTTGAGGACATTTCCCAGTAATACCACATGCACAAAAAAATATCCATCTCAAAGTGTATCCTGGAAATCTGACCTAGGATAAATTTGCATAGAGGACACACTCGCTCTGAAGATCCTCTCATTCCTACACACCTAGGAAGGGGTTGGCTCTAAGACAAACTACCTGAGCAGGCCGTGGAAGGGTTTCAAGGGGATAAGGAGCTCTGGTAGCGTAGCAGTTATGAATGGGCTTGCTAACCTCAGGGTCAGCTTTTCAAAACTACTAGCTGTTCCCGCGGGAGAAAGATGAGGCTTTCTGCTCCCATAAAAATTTACAGCCTCAGAAACCCTGCACAGGGTCGCTATGAGTCAGAACCGAATCCATGGCACATAACCACCACCACCAATGAATGATACTGTCAGGATTCAGGCAGAGGAGAAGGCTTCAAGGCTAGAGAATGGGACCAGAAGTTTATTGTCGTCTCTTACCAGTTACCACCAGATCCAGCGTGTCGCTTTGCTCTGACCAGATCTTCCCACTTAGATAGATGCAGCTATAGCCTCCTGCCGTGTGTAATGTCATGGCAGGGATGGAGAATAGGACTTTGTTCTTCAATTCAGGTGACTTCTGTCTCTTCAAGGCAGAAAGTTGTCCCTTATAAAGCAGCTGGTACTCAAGAGCCCCTCGGATCCCCTGACACCAGATGGCCACTGGCTTTCCCTTGGGAATTATGGAATTGGGCTTGGCCCAAACAATGGGTTTTGAGAGAGCATCTGAAAAGGAATCAGAGACTGGAATTTCACACGGTCCTCTTCCCATAACTACCATCACCCTACTTTCCACCCAATGGTAGACCTCAAACCCTCCTCGCCATCCAGAACTCCATTGGTTGGCAGGTGGCTATTCAATGTGAACCGAGACAAGTGCTTCTGAGGTTTTGAAGAAGGGACTTACACAGCGGGGAGCTGATCACCTGGTTCAGACACAGCCCTGTAAGAGATGGTTAATGAGAGATGTTGCCCCACCCTCATTCACGCTTCTGAATTCCATCTTTCTTCCATACAAAAACTCACCAAGGCAGAGCAAGGAAGGGAGTGTGGATGGCATAACCCAGAGTCTATCAAGGCAATGTGGAGGATCTGGTTGAAGGTTAGGTCCAGCAGTCCAGGCAGACACACAGGAAGTGGTGGGTGATGCCTACCGCCTGTCACCACGGGGCTTTCACACTGATCTTTTGAACAAGTCCACAGCTCTTCCTCCACCTCTAACCACAGGGTCCAAGGGCTAAAGAGCATGGAAACTATGACACCGCTGACCACACCTGTGGTCTAGCTGATGATTGCTTGATCAGAAACTAATTTTTGGTTAAATTCTACCTTCTGGAAGGCAGACATTATGCCCAGGGAAGGTAGAAGGCAATGTACAGACAAAACCCTGAGAATCACTCAGTAAGGTCACAGAGTCCCAAGACTATCCTGTCGTAAACCAAAGCTATCTACTGAAGTCTTCTTTGGCCCTCCTCCCAAATTAATTTATCTTAGTAAGTAAAATAGAGTTCTAATGTGCTTCTGTAGTATAAACACTAGACTGCTAATCTCAAGGTCAAGGGTTCAAACCCATGATCCACTTCTTGGAAACTCTATACAGGGTTGCTATGAGTCGGGACTACACTTAACAACAATCACAACAAAGATAAGTAAACTACATCTGCCTTGAGCATTATGTTCTTTTACATATTTACCTAGGTGAGATCAGATTGACAACAGCAACTCACAAGCTTAGGTAGAAGCTAGGGGGCACTGAGACTGTGTAATTGTTGTCTCGGTTATCTAGTGCCTCTCTCACACAAGGTGAGGTCTCTAACAACCATACATTTCATTTCTCACAGGTTAGGAGGTTAGAAGCCCAAATTAGGGTGCCAGCTCTAGGAGAAAGTTCTGTCACCTCTGGAAGAAGGTCCTTGTCTCCCTTCAGCATCTGTGGACCCAGAATCCCTTGGCAATCTCCATGCGTCTTGGCATCATCTTCCTATGGATCTAGGAGGTTCTCAGTGCAGGGTCTCTGGGTCCAAAGGCTGGATGTCACTCTTGGCTCGTCTTTTTTCGGAGGTAGTCAGGTCCTTCTTTCTCTGCTTACTTCTCTCTCCTTGCATCGCTTGTATGATCAAAGGTGATGCAGAGCACACTCCAGGGAAACTCTCCTTACATTGGCTCAGGGCTGTGATGTGAATAAGGATGTTACATTTCACTAATACAGGGATAACCGATTGGCTGCTCACATCAGACCATATAAAGGAATGACTACATCACTACACAACTGCCAAATTACATCATCACATCTGCCGGACCACTGGGAAACATGTGGACATATAATATTTTGGAGTGGGGGTGGGGGCACAATTTAATCTATGAGAATGGTGGTGAGACTCTGCAACTTGAATGTAATCACGGTCGCCAAATCGTACATGTAGAACTGCTGTAATGGTGTATGACTGCGCCGTTTCCCACAAACACTTGAGAATCTGTAGGAAGCCAGAGCCTTCCAAGGCTCATGACTACCTTGAAACTAAACTTGCCTAGCAACAGTTACATCAGCACTAGAAACTTACAGGTGAATTTACCTGAGCCATTTCGGGGAAAAGGAAACTTGTGAGCTAGCCAAAACCACAATGACTTGGCAGATTTGCTCTATATAAGCTTGGAACTTTTTAATAAACTTTGTCACTTGCCATCAGCTTGTGTCCCTTACCTAATCACTTACTCCTCACCTCTCCCTCGAGTAACCCACGGTCGGAGCTGGAATCCGATAAGAATCAGAACAAGGAAAAGCTTTGCAGGGCAGTGATTTCCTTGATCTGGCCCCTCGCGTCATGCATGGTCTTATGACTTCTCTAACACCCAGAAAGGAGAGCTAGGAATGGAGTGTGTCCTTTGGACTCAGGGTCCCGGCACTGAGAACCTCCTAAATCCAAGAGACAGAGAGAACTGCAGAATCAGAGATAGTTAGGGATGACGAGAAGTTGCGATGGAGAGGAAGCACCCGCAGAAACAGGAGACGTGTGTAAGCTCGTGTGGTGGGCTAGCTACAGTGGTTGTGCAGCTCCACAGCGCAAGAGTGCCGGAAGCCTTCCTGGTGGAGTGGGGTGCCTCTGAGCACTTGTCAATGGAGCTAGACTGGCCAACCCATGTAACGAGAGAGCTGAGCCCTTAAATGCACACTGGTCCCTTTGAAGTGGCGGTTAAAGATGTCCCAAGTGTCTAACTTCTCCACACTGCTGTATCACTCCATCATCTCTAACACCAACTATCTCCCCCCACCCCAGGTTCCCTAATTTGCTGCAATAGCTCACAGAGCTTAAGAACTGTATTTATAGTTAAGTGGTTTATTAGGGAAGTAGCAGGTACAACTCAGGATACAGTTCTTGATCAGAACAGTTTCTTCTCACCGTCGGATGCTGGGCCCTGTATGGGGCCTTCTTGGGCAAGTGTTCCTGTTCTTAGCTCCGTGCAGTGATGTCATCCCGGTCTCTTGGTTTCTGCTGTCTCACATGATCTCTTTACCATTGCATTTTCATCCATCGTTGTCTCCTCTGTTACATCTCCCTCTCTCTCTGTCTCCTGGGTCCAGGAGGATTTCAGTGCAGAAACCATATTAAAGTGGAGGGTCAGCAAAAAAAGAGGAAGATCCCAATGAGATGGATCGGCACAGTGACCGCAGCTATGGGCTCAAGCATAATAATTGTGAGGATGGCGTAGGACTGGGCGTGTTTAGTTTTGTTGTGCGTATACGGTGGTTGTAAGTTGGAATCAGCTCAGTGATACCTAAGAACAACCACCTCAGAACTTAATATTCTTTTGGGAGTTCCTGGGTGATTCAAAGATTTAAGTGCTTGACTACAAGCCAAAAGGTTGGTAGTTGAACCCACCCAGAGATGCCTTCAAAGATAGGTCTGGTGTTCTGCTTCTGAAGGACCACAACCTTGAAGACCCCACTCTGTGTACGTGGTGTTCCCAGGAGTTAGAATCAACATGGCAATAAACAATAATCTCACTTTCAGCCAGAATGATGTGGTGAGTTATTTGTTACAGAGGTCTGCATGACTCCAAATGATACAACGCTACCTTCTCAGTTCAATATGGAGGTGGGAGAATGGGGAACTTGTAGGGCTGCGAACCACAAAATGCTCTGCAGGAGGAAGGGGAGAGTTTCTGGCCCCATAACGACTTACAGCCTCGGAAACCTGGGTACTAATGTGATGGCAGGGGGTTTGGTTTCTGGAATCCTAGTGTGGGGCTATAGGATTAGTACTGACCTGCTAGCCAAAAGGTGGTCTCCTCGGAAAATGCTATACAGCACTGCTATGAGTCAAAACTGGCTCAGTGGCTCTTAACAACCACAACAATAGTTCAATATTGAAGATTAATTTTCTAAGATTTTTCATATTATAAAATCTCCGTGTGGATGAACAAGCTTCATTAAATTGGAAACTGGCTGGCTGGCTGGCTGTGTGCCGTGGAATCAGTTCTCACTCATAGCGACCCTGTACAGGGTTTCCAAGGCTATACATCTTTATTGGAGCAGAAAGACTCATCTTTCTCCCATGGAACAGCTGGTGGTTTTGAACTGCTGACCTTGAGGTTCACAGCCCTATTTGTAACCACTACACTACCAGAGTTCCTTAAACTGGAAACTAGTTTCATGATGAACACTAGTCCAGACCCTCACCGAGGCTCCCAAGTTGCCAGACTCCTATCAGAATTTGCCTACACCCAGGTGCACAGTGGAAAAATCTTAAGCCCCAGAATGGTAAAATTATATAAATACCCTGTTATATAAAAAATATTAAATGGAGAAAAAATTAGTAGATGAAACAATGTTGTTGTTGTTAAGTGCTGTTGAGTCATTTCTGACTCACAGTTATCTTGTATAGGGTTTCCAAGGAGCAGCTGGTGGGTTTGAACCTCCAACCTTGTGGTTAGCAGGCCAGTGCTTATCCTATGGTGCCACACCAGGACTCCATGAAACACACACCAAGATATGATATGTGTGGTATGCTGTATAGGAATCTCATATAAATAGAAAAACAGAAAGGAAGAAATCTCATAGAATGATGGCATTCACTTTTTTTAGTTTATCGATGCATAAAACATAACTTAAGGATCAAGAGGGGATTTATTAAATATCTTAGGTGCTCATTTCAAAAAATGTGAGAAATAAATATTGAGGAGGAAAATGAAAAGAATATTTAAAAGCAGAGTGAAAATGGGAAATTATAACCACTGTTCAGGAAGACGGCATGGGAAGTCTATCGGATTGCCATAAGGAAACATCATTTGATGTGTTTGAATGCAGAGCGATGGGATGGGAAGTCTATCGGATTGCCATAAGGAAACATCATTTGATGTGTTTGAATGCAGAGCGATGGGATGGGAAGTCTATCGGATTGCCATAAGGAAACATCATTTGATGTGTTTGAATGCAGAGCGAAGTTCCTTAGAGGCTCTTTCTCTCTTGAGTCTTCCAGGTTGCTTTGTAGAACTCCACAAGTTCTGATTCATGTGTACTTTCATCTCCAGATCTCTACCCAGTGGCTATCAGGGGCTGGTTTAAGGGACCATTCTGTTGGACACTCCTGTTTACTCCAGTTTGGTTCAGCCAAGTCTTGTCTATTTTCCTTGAGTAGCACCTTACGACTGTGCCAATCTTCAACCAATATCACCAGGAGAGCCACAAGGACCAGTCCCGCCACGCTTAGCTGGATTACATTCTGCATTATGGAATCCCGGCCCATGGTGTCTAGAGACATAAATAAAAAAGAGAACTGGTTATTGGTCATGTTCCACCACATTCTAATCCCAGAGCCCGGAAATGGGAACTTATTTCCTTTATCTGAAAATATGGTCCCATTCTGACTTGTTTTCAATGATGTCATTGGCTTATGAGCAGCAAACTTACTGGTAAGTCTGGATTCCTGGGTGATGAATGGTGATTCCTAAGGGTGTCTCAGGGAAGAAAATGTCTATAGAGAGATTGTATTTGCCCCTCCCTTGGTGAGTTTACTTAATGCCTGATCATTTACTTGCAGTATCTCCAAATATACAGAACACTTAATTCTCACCTATACGCCTTCTTCACCCCATACATCAATTTCTTTTCTTCCCTCATACACGAGAAAGGGTACATCATTGTTGGTACCCAGGAAGTAGGTACTGGAAAACATGAGATCAACTTTATTTATTGTATTGAGTGATGCTTTGCAAGACATTGCTGCTCTCGGGATATTTTTGTCCTCCTTAATTTGCTACATGGACTATATGGACTCATGTTTCCCTCAGAGACATTTTATTGTCAGCTGCCTTCAGTTGCCTCTGATTTATGGTGACTTTATGTACAACGAACAACACACTGATGATCATTCGTATGTTTGAATCCATTGTTGTAGCTTCCGTGTACTTTGAGTGTCTCCCAACCTCGGGGTCTCATCTTTCAGCACTATATCAGATAAGGATGATCCATAAAGTTTATATTGGCTAATTTTCATAAGTAGATCATCAGACCTTTCTTCCTAACCTGTCTTGTTGTTGTTGTTGTTGTTGTTAAGTGCCATTGAGTCGGTTCTGACCCATAGTGACTCTGTATAGGGTTTCCTAGGAGCTGGTTTTAGTCTGGACTAAATTAGACTAGCCAATTTAAAGACTGGTGACCTCAGCTGTCCACTTAAAGGTGAATCCGCCTCACAATTCCATTTCAGTGTGTGTTGAAGAAAATCATTTAAAAGTTCTACTGGAACCTACCCATCACAGGTTCCAGTGGTATTTGAAATACCAGTTGTATAGCTTCTCATCAATCAGCCTGTGGTACTGGGGTGGCTTCTGTGTGGCTGTGATGCTAGAAGTGATGCTACAGGTATTTTCAATATCACTCATGCTGGACAGCTTTCAGCTGAGCTTCCAGAAAAGCTAAGACTAGGAGAGGTGGACTCCTTCTTTAACCACTGAAAACCTTGTGGTTTTCAATTTAGCCACTGAAAACCTTATGAGTAGCAGCGGAACACTGTCAGATAAAGTGCTGGAAAAGGAAAACATTATAAATAGCACCCGAATAGTGTCAGACATAGTGGCAGAAGATGAGGCCCTCAGGTTAGAAGGCACTCAAAATGTGACTGGGAAGAGCTGCCTCCTCAAAGTAGAGTTGACTGTGATGACGCAGGTAGAGTAAAGCCCTCGGGACCTTCATTTCCTGATGGGGCACAACTCAAACTGAGGAGAAATAGCTGTAAACATCCATTAATAATTAGAACACGGAATGTATGAAGTGTGAATCTCGGGAAATTGGAAGTTGCTAAAAATGAAATGGAACACATAAAGATCAATATCCTAGGCATTAGTGAGCTGAAATGGACTGGTATTAGCCATTTGGAATCTGACAGTCACATGGTTTACTATGCCAGAATGACAAATTGAAGAGGAATGGGGTCATATTCATCATTAAAAAAAAAAAAAAAAAAATTTCAAGATCTGTCTTGAAGTAAAATGCTGTCTGTGATAGGATAATATGCATACATCTAACAAGGAAGACCAGTTAATACCATTATTATTCAAATTTATGCACCAACCACTAAAATCAAGGGTGATGAAACTGAATTCTACCCATTTCTTCATCTGAAATTGATCACATTTGCAACCAAGACATATTGATAATTACTGGTAATTAGAATGTAAATGTTGGGAACAAAGAGTATTTCAGTATCTAGAAAATGTGACCTTGGTAATAGAAATAATGCTGGAGATTGCATGATAGAATTTTGCAAATGTAGTTTTTTAAACAACATGAAAGATGACTATACATATGAACTTCATCAGATGGAATAGACAGAAGTCAAATAGACTGTATCTGTTAAAGAGACAGTGGACAAGTTCAAGATCATCAGCCAAAACAAGGACTGATTTAGACTGTAGAAAATAACAATTGCTCCTATGAAAGTTCAGTCTGAAGCTGAAGAGAATTAAAATGAGTCCACAAGAGCCAAACTATGACTTTGAACATACCCTACCTGAATGGGGAGACCATCTCAAGAAGAGATTTGATGTATTATACACTAATAACCAAAGACCGGAGGAGTAAGAGGATGACATCAAAAACATTATACAGGAAGAAAGCAAAAGGTCATTAAGAAGATCAGAATGAAGAAAAAAACCAACTTGGGAGTCAGAATAGACTCTGAACCTTGCTCTCCAGCATAGTAAATGGAGAAATGAAGAATTCAAAGAGCTGAACAGAACATTTCAAAGGGCAGCTCAAGAAGACAAAGTCAAGTATCATAATGAAATGTGCAGAGACCTGGAGTTAGCAAACCAAAAGGGAAGAACACACTCAGCATTTCTCAAGCTGAAAGAACAAGAAAAAAATTCAAGTCTTAATTTAAAACATTAAAGCGTGCTATGGGAAAATATTGAATGATGCAGAAAGCATCAAAAGAAAATGGAAGGTATGCAGGTACGCAGACAGTCTCTACACCAAAAAGAAATGGTTAATGTTTGACCATTTCAAGAGGCTGAGTATGAACCAGAAATGACGGCTCTGAAGGAAAAAGTCCAATAAGGCTCCAGGAATTGACGGATATGAATTGAAATCTTTCAACAAACTGATGCAGTTTTGGAGCTACTCATCTGTGCCGAGACACCACACCACAATACTACAAACCTACAGATAACTGGTGGGAATGTAATACATGGAAGCCTCAAAAAGCTCATGGAAATAAAGAATTTGAACAATAATGGATCCCCCCACCACACACACAGTGTTTTAAGGCCCATTCATATGTTGTAGTTAGATACTGTCAAGCTAAGTCTTACTCGTAGTGACCCCCATGTACAACTGAACAAAATATGAAGGCAAGTAAAGACTCATTGCCACAAAGACAAAGAACTCTTTCTTGAACAAAACTATTAAAATGGGAGACTATCGTTAATTGACATATCCTCCGTCTAAGTCAATATACTTGTAACTGTTGGGTTTTCTTCTCTCTAACCCTTTGGACATGTTGCCAGAAGAGACCAGTCCCTGGAGAAGGACATGATGCTTGGTAAAGTGTAGGGTCAGCAAAAAAGAGGAAGACCCCCAACAAGATGGATTGGCACAGGGGCAGCAGCAATGGGTTCAAGCAAAACAATTGTGAGGCTGGCTCAGGACTGGGTAGGCACCTAACAACAACAACAACCCTCCCTTGAATAATTATGTGTTCTTTGATTTACGCCACATCAAATGGCAGTTTGGCATCATCAAAGAATTCAAATCATGTTCCTTGAGTTTGGGAGAAAAAAGAAGTCTGAAGGGCTAAGATCAGGACTGTAGAATGGGTGTTGCTGTTAAATGCTGTTGAGTCGATTCTGATCCAGAGCGACCCTGTATAGGGTTTCCGAAGAGCAGCTGGTGAGCTTGAACCACCAACCTTGCAGTTCAAATGGCTTTGCAGTCTGGTGCATGAACCCACAGCGCCACACCAGGACTCCGTGGAATGGAAGGGATAAGGCTTTCCAACAAAATTCTCGTGGGACTTACTACTCAAAGATTGAGTTCCATCACAAGTGCATTGTCATGATGGGAAAAATATATATTTGGTGTAATTTTTCTGGTCTTTTTCTTACCAACGCAGTTCTCAATTGTCTTAACACTTCTTCCTGATAAATCAGTTCATGTGTACTTTGAGGAAATCTATCAAAATGACCCCTTTAGGATTCCAACAAACAGTTGCCATAACCTTGTGCTCTGACCTCTCAGCCTTGAATGTAATTGCTCCGCCAGATCCTCTGGTAGTCCTTGTTTTGATTGCTCTCTGAATAGTATTAATAAATGCAATGCTGATCCCCAGTAGGATGCTTTCCACAACATCATCTCCATTAGCTTTAAAAATGCTTAAAAGACTGATAAAAAGACCAGCTCTTTAAGCAAGCTTGTCTTTGCACAACACTTTTTTCTTAGGATCCTTTTATTTTTTTAAGGCACTCTAACAAGATGGAGACAAGTGTTTTACTGAGAGAACTCGTTGTCCTCAGTCACCCAATGATCACAGAGACATGTTTCAACACGTTTTGTTTGGACTTGAACGTGTATGAACTAGACCCTTAGTAGCAATGCGTACTTTTAAAACTTACTCTCATGTAGTCTAGTTAATAAAACTACCTATCAACAAGTTAAACAAAGCTCATAAAGACACAAGATACCCAAGTTAAAGCCTGGTGACTTCAACTGTCTACATAAAGGTGAATCATAAACTCAGCCTCACAAGCCCATCAAAGAGTGTGGTGATATGGGTTTTAAAACAGGAAAAAAAAACCTATCAACTCAAGATTGATTCAAATTAAGCATTTGATATTATTAAATACTTAGTCTTGGTGTGGCACTATAGGATAAGCACTGGACTGCTAACCCCAAGGTCTGCAGTTCAAATTCACCAGCCACTCCTTGGAAATCCTATACAGGGTGGCTATGAGTCAGAACCAACTTGTTGGTACTTAACAATGACAACATCTAGAAAAGTTGGTAGGTAGATAGGCAGATACATAGAAACTCAGATTGATACATAGACTGGTGTATAGATATAGTAAAGGTGTGGATCTAATTGGATTGACGCAATCATGATGTAGGGCTCAAACACACTGACAATCATGAGGACGGCGTGGGACCAGGTGATATTTCATTCTATTAGACTTGATGGCAACTAATGACGACAACAACAACATGAGTATGGTGCTGGTGGTGTGACGTGGAGACGGTTCAAACTCAACGCGTCCCTGCGTGGGGTTTCCGAGGCTGTAAATCTTTATGAGAACAGAAAACCTCATCTTTCTCCTATGAAACCACTGAGAGTTTCGAACTGCTGACCTTGAAGTTAGCAGCCAGACTTGTAATCACTACACTACCAGAGCTCCTTACCATGAGTAAGGTGGTGGTGGTGGTGATGTGTCCTGGAGTCGGTTCCAACTCCTAGCAACCCTGTACTGAGTTTCCAAGGCTATAAACCTTTACAGGAGCAGAAAGGCTCATCTTTCTCTGGCAGAAGAGCTGGTAGTTTCGAACTGCTGACCTTGAGGTTCGCAGCCCGATTCTTAACCACTACACTACCAGAGCTCCTTTAACATGGGTATTGTTGTTGTTGTTGTTAAATGCCATTGAGTCAGTTCCAACCCACAGCAACCCTGTATAGGGTTTCTGAGGAGCAGCTGGTGAGCTTGAACTATCGACCTTGCAGTTCAAACAGCTTTGCAGTCTGGCTCATTAACCCACGGCCCCAAAGGTATAGCTATAGATAAATAGATGCTATTATGTTTCATCAAGTGAATTCCAACTCATAGTCACCAGTGAGACAGAGTTGAACTACCCCATAAAGAAGCAGATTGCTAAGTCTTTCCTCTGTGGAGCCATTGGGTGGGTTCGAACCACCAACTCTGGGTTAGTAGCTACGCATTTAACTGTTGTGCCACCAGAACTCCTTCTACAAATCTCTATCTAATTACATGCATGTACATACATTAGTGGACTAAGAATGGAAAGATTTCCTTAATTTGATAAAACTTGCCTAAATAATAAAAAGGAAACAGCATATAAATGGGAAATCACTTGATGGCATTTTATACAAACCTGCTGCCATTGAGTCGACTCCAACTCAGTGACTCCATGGGACAAAGACCTAGAGACAGATCTGTACCTAAAAAGATCAAAACCTAGGAAACCCCATGGGGCCGTTCCACTCTGTGCGAGAGGTTCCGCTAGGAGTTGGAATGGACTCAATGGTATACAATAACAGCACAGTTATCTTTACAGAAGCAAATCACCAGATCATTCTCCCATGAAACCCCTAGAGTGTTCAACAGCCAACCTTTCCATTAGCAGCTGAGTGCTCCCCCATTACAATACCAGAGATCCCTGAGAACCAAGACAACATAAAACTAAAGGATGGAACTCAAGATGGTATAAAAATGGCGGCATGCTGAGTCACAGTCTAGTGCACAGGGAGGCTCTAGAGCTGGGGTAAGATGTACCTACCTGGGACAACAAGCTCCAGGACATTACTAGGAGACGACCACACATGGGGGCTCATATTAAACCAGCCATAGCAACTATAGTTCCCTGAGAAGTCGTGGTTCACGGGACCCAGAGTGAACGTGCCTTGATGTGTCCCATTTTGATGTTGTGGCAGGTCAATTGGACTCCCTTCCTTTGTCAGTGAAAATCTGTCAAATGGGATGTTAGCTGACCCACACTGGAGGAAAATGTTCTCGCCCAATACCACCACCTGGCCCAGATCAGCTGAGAGGAAGGGTTCATCATACAAGCCTGAAAAAGAAGACCAGGAACTGTTAGTGAGAGTTTTCTTTTTCCATCAACCCTGCCCCCTGTGTTTGATGCCTCCTAAGAGAAGGGAAGATGTTGACCTTTCCTGCTCCCAGAATGGGAATTCTCCATAGAAGAATTCATGGGGAACATTCCTTTTCTTTTTTCTTTGAAAAAAAAAATTTTTTAATTGTGTTCTCAGTGAAGGTTTACACAGCAGGTTTGGTTTCCATTCAACAATCTTTACGTACGTTGTTCAGTGACATTGGTTGCATTCTTAACAAGGCATGAGCAGTCTCATCATTTTCATTCTGGTTGTTCCATTTCCATTCATCTAGTCTCCCTTCTCCCTTACATGCTCAGCTTTTAAAGTAATTGTGAGAGGGGCACAGGACTGAGCAGTGCTTCTCTCTGTTGCTCACAGGATCAACATGAGTTGGAACCAACTGGATGACACCTAACAACAACAACACTATAGGAGGAACCAGTTCCTGGAGAAGGACATCACACTTGGCAAAGTAGAGGATCAGCACAAAAGGAGGCAGACCCTCAAAGAGATGGGTTGACACTTCACTATGAGTCAGAACCGATTCAAAAGCACCTAACAACAAGTCAACAGTAAGGGAAACAGGACGCAAACTCTCCAGGCTATCGTCTTGAATTTTTTGTAAATCTAAAACTATTCAGAAGGACAAAGTTTATTAAAATTTATTTTTTAAAAACAACTGACCCCCTCCACACAGAGTAGACAGAGATGGGCAACTTGGACATTGGCTACCCAAAATGGGGGGAAGGGGGCTACAAAGGCAAGAAGTGACTGGCTTACAAGCTTTCAAGAGGGAACCTAGATCCAGAGGGTGCAGAGGAAGGCAGAATCTCCAGTGAGTAGTATCCAATCTGTCTAGGCAGAGCTGATGAAATGAAATGCAGATGGGTCTCTTGTGATACAATAGTGAATAATTGTTATCAGGACTGATTGTGAGGGTTGGACATGTAAAGGTAGATGTTTTATAGCAGGAAGGAAGTGATTAATTTTCCAGTCTAGGAGCGGAGGTCCCTAGGACCATCAACGGAGAAGAGCGGAGAGCGGGACCCTACCCAGAGAAGCAGTGATGCCTGAGATGGAGGCAGAGACGATGACATGGAGAGATGGAGCAGCTGGGGACTCTGGACTCAGGGAGGGAGAGGAGCTGTGTGCTGACGACCAGGGGGGCAGGCTTGTAGTGTATACCCTTTGGTTGGTTGATGATGCATGGAGGGGATTGTAACCATGGCAATGAAACGATATACAATAGAATGAATGTAAAACTAATGTTCTCCCATGTAAAGTATCATATATTTCACAATAAAACATTTTTAAAAAACAAACAAAAAAACAACTGAGGGCTGTAGATGCTAGATGTCTCCTTACCTGTCACCACCAAATCCAGTATGTCACTGTATTTGGACAACCCTTTATGGGTCCAATATTGGCAGCGGTAACGCCCTGCAGAATTTGTATCCATGGGGTGAATGATGAACTCAGACACCTCCTGAAATCCTAAGTTTTTCTTTACCACCTGGTACTTAGAGTTTCTCAGAATCTCCAGGCTGTACTGATAGGACTCAGGAGTTCCTTTGCACAGGACCTTCGCTGTTTCATTCCGAGGGATCACAGAGCTCGGTACGGCAGATATGGCAGGAAGTGTCCAGTTCCCTGGAAGAGAAATGGAACTCAGAGTTAGTTGTCATAGGTTTACTTGGTGTTTTATTTTCATGGAAATCCTTGTTGTTGTTATTCGGTGCCATTGAGTCAGTTCCAACAGTTAGCAACTCCATGCACAACTGTGAAGATGGTGCAGCTAACAACCGATAGATAGATGCATAGATCAATAGATGGATAGATGGATAGATCAATAGATAGATGGATATATGGATAGATAGATAGATAGATAGATAGATAGATAGATAGATAGATAGATATAGATAGATAGATACATAGATAGATAGATAGATAGATAGATAGATAGATAGATAGATAGATAGGATAGATAGAGAATCAACATATCTAGACCAAAACACTGCTTGGCCCTGCCCCATCCTTACAATTTCTTGTCATGTTTGAGTATATTGTGGCGGCCACTGTGTCATTCCTCCTTTTAGGACTTCTGCTATCACTCACCCTCTACTTGCCAAGCATGATGTCCTTTTACAGAGACTGGTTCCTCCAGATATGAAGATGCTCAGAGCATGTGAGATGATGTCTCACCACCCTCACTTCTGAGGAGTGTTCTAACTCCCCTGGTACCATCAATACTCTTCACCAACACCACAATTCAGAGGCATCAAGTCTCCAGTCTTCCTTATTCACTGTTCAGCTTTCACATGCATATGACGCAATTGAAAATATCATGACTTGGGTCAGGCACTCTTTCGTCCCCAAAGTGACATATTTGGTAATCCTTATCAGCATACAATTCTGCATGGGTGTGTGTGTGTGTGCACATGCATGTGTGTCTGAATACATGAATGAGTGTGGAATTTGTGAATAGGAAACAGATGGAAGAAGACACTTGAAATGAGGGCACTTGGAGACTGAGATAGTTAACACTCTGGGCTGCTAACCAAAAGGTTGGAGGTTCAAGTCCACCCAGGTGATATTGCATGGAGTTGGTTCTGACTCATAGTGACCCTGTACAGGATTTCTGAGGCTGTAAATCTTTACGGGAGCAGAAAGCCTCATCTTTCTCCCACAGAACAGCTGGTAGTTTTGAACTTCTGACCTTGAGGTTAGCAGCCCAACTCGTAACCACTACACTACCAGAACTCCTTAAGGTCACCCAGAGGCACCTTGAAAGAAAGGCCCGGTGATCTACTTCTAAAAAATCAGCCATGGAAAACCCTGTGGGAACAAAACAACTGGAATAGAAATAATGAGAGGTTTCACACACATTGTGAAGAATAGAACCAACTGAACAACCTGTGTAGAAATTGTTGAGTGTAAACCTGAACTGCTTTGTAAACCTTCACTGAAAGTACTTTAACATGTTATTTAAAAAAAGGAAGGAACGACACGGTACTCTGGGGTACAGTTCCACTCTGACACAAATGGAATGTGTGGAGCTACCATGAGTCCAAGTTGACCTTGCCCCAATGGTGGCTTGTGTGTGGGATGGGTGGGTGTGGGGAGGCAGGGTGGAAGCCTTGGAGGACTCATGTTGTTAATTGATCAAGACCACAAAATGTAGAGTGGCCAAGCCTGATTTGGAATGGGATTTGGAATATAATCTAATTTGGAAAGACCTGGGGACAAGATGTTGCTTCGTTTCTTGGTTACAAATCCTTCATGTTGAATTGGCCTTGAGCAAGTGGTTTTGCATTTTAAAGTTTAGGAGTCCGTGGGTGATGCAAATGACTAATAATCTTGGCTGCAAACCAAAGGATTGGTGGTTTGGGTCCAAATAATCAGTCATTGAAAACTCAATGGAATGCAGTTCTACTCGGATGCTTGGGATCAGCATGAGTGGGGAGTGACTCAAGGCAGCAGCTTGAATCCTGATACTGAAATTGATCAGTAGAGGTCAGGAGACTCAAAGAAAGCTGGTTCCCTTCATACAAGTGTATCATCTCTGTGTGTTGCCACGGTGTTTTCAGTATTTATTTGATCAACAGTAGTGGGGCTTTGGGTATCAATGTGCTCACTTGCGGCTCTTTTCCAGTAGACAGGGAGACAACAGGGAGCTTGCTCTTCCCCCCAGGACTGTTGTGAAGACCAGCTGGACAATAGTTGGCTGTGGGAGGTGTTGGCCGTGCCTTCTGAAGCTTGCTGATAGTCCACGTACTCATGCCGTTCATTCACCAACACACCGCACATTTGGTACTCCAAAACATATAGAGAGGTGCTTAAAGGAGGGGGCCGCCAAAAGTTTGTGGGGAAAATGGGAAGAGAGAATGGAATTTCCCATAATCCTTTTGAAGCCTCACCGTATGTCCTACATACAATGATATTGTTCTGGTGTTATTAATATCAGATGGTCATTTGCATAGTTCAATGTTAGGATTTATCAGGGAACCGAGAGCAAAAGGCAATGATAATGAAAATTTCTTAAAAGGAGGTATTTGACTAACATTTGAGCCAACTTACAAAGGAGTTGGACTAGAACCCTATCTGAAGGCAGAGACTGACCTACACTGGTGGTTCTCAACCAGGTGAAAGCTCACCTCTAAGACAGGACAATTGGACAATGCCAGGAGTCATCTTTTGATGATCACACTGGGGTGCGATGGACTATTTACATCCAGTGGGCAGAAGTGCTGCTCAACATCCCACAATACTCAAGACAGCCTCCTACACCTAATAATGAACCCACTCATTGCTGCAAAGTGGATTCCAACTAGGGGACAGAGTCCAGCTGCCTCAGAGGGTTTCCTACCCTGGAATCTTTTCAGAAGCAGACTGCTACATCTATCTCCCTTAAAGTGACAGAGACCTTGGTGATTAGGAGCCAAGCGCTTAATCAATGTGCCACCAGGGCATCTTCCACAAAGAATTACCTGGCCCCAAAGCATCCGTCTTGCTGAGGATGCGAAATCTTGACCTAAACAGACCTGGTTACTGCCTTCAAGGACCCAATGATGTGTGAAAAGTCAGATAACAATTATTAATTTAAAACACAAATAAACAACAACAAAAAAACCAAATAGCTACTTTCAACTTGATTCCTACTCATGGTAGCTCCGGTGTGCCGGAGTAGAACTGTTCCATAAAATTGTTCAAGGCTGTGCAGCCTTTTCGAAGCAGGCCTTACTTTCTTCTGAAGTATGTTTGGGTGGGTTTGAACCACTACACTAGACATGCGTTGTTGTTAAGTGCCGTCAAGTCAGTTCCCACCCATTGCTGCCCAGTATAGTGTTTCTGAGGAGCTTCTGGTGGGTTTGAACCCCATGGTCAGCAAACTGCATCACCAATGCTCCTTAATTACAAACACAAGCAAAAGAAAAGTAAAAATAGTTGTCATCAAGTTGATTCCTACTCATAGCGACCCCATACGTGCCACAGTTGAACAGCTCCATAGCTGATTCTCATGGCCATGACCTTTCAAAAGCCGAGAGCTAAGCTTGACTTTCTTCTAAGGTACATCTGAGTAGGTCTGAACCACCAAACTATATATAGATATGTTTTCTAGTCTTCCAAAATTACGGAGAATGAACCCTCCGGAACACTTGGCTGTGCTCATGAGGAACCTGTACCTAGACCAACAGGCAGTTGTTTGAACAGAACAAGGGAACACTGAATGGCTTAAAATTAGGAATGGTGTATGTCAGGCTTGTGTACTTTCACTATACTTATTCAGTTTGTATGCTGAGCAAATAATTTGAGAAACTGGATTATATCAAGAAAAATGTGGCATCAAGGTTAGAGGAAGACTCATTAACAACCTGAGATATGCAGACGATACAACCTTGCTTGCTGAAAGTGAAGAAGACTTAAAATGCTGATGAAGATCAAAGACCACAACCTTTGGTATGGGTTGCACCTCAATGTAAAGAAAACAAAAATCCTCACCACGGGACCAATATATAATGCCCATATAAATGGGGGAAAGAATGAAGTTGTCAGACTGTATTTTGCTCTGATCAGCCGTCAACACTCATGGACTGCCAAAAGAGCAAACAAATCTGTGTTGGAAGAAGTACAGCCAGAATCCTTCTTAGAAGCCAGGATGGCCAGACTTTGTCTCTCATACTTCAGTCCCTGAAGAAGAGCATCATGCTTAGTAAAGTGGAGGGTCCGTAAAGAAGAGGAAGCCCCCCAACGTGATGGATTGGCACAGTGGCAGCAGCAATAGGATCATGAACAGCATGATTGTGAGGTTGGCAAAGGACCAGGCAGTACTTCATTGTGTTGTCCATAAAGTTGTTATAAGTCGGTACTGACTGGACGGCACCTAACAACAACAACAACGACATATTCTTCCAGGCACATTGATAATCATTAGGAACACAAGTGTGACACACACTGGTGCTTCTCAGCCAGGAGAAATCTTGCATCTGGGGTTGGTTAGAATAGTGAGACAATTTGGCGCTTAACCATTTGTATTGTATAATTAGAGATCTTGATATGTGGTCTACAATATAAAGACATACAACTTGGAGACCTGGTAACAGAACTGATGTTTCAGCTGACATACGTGTTTGAGTAGGAATTAGCTAGGCGACATGGACAGTTAAGATTGAGCATTAGCACACAGCTTGATGATGGTAAATGATGTCACCAAAAAGTGCACACCAAAAAAGACCTGTTGGTAATTAGTTTGGAATCTATAATTTTGAAAAATAAAAGCAAATACAACAAAAATATATGAGTGGGTATATACATGTATGTGGAGTTCCGGTGTGGCGCTACGGGTTAATGCGCTGGATTGCAAAGTTGGTTGAAGCCACAAGGTTGGTGGTTCAAGCTCACCAGCTGCTTCTAGGAAACCCTATATGGGGTCACTATGGGTCAAAAACAACAACAATATATGCATGTATGTAGGCAAATATGAGAGTAAGTAAAAATGTACTGCTATTATGGTTCAAGTTCATACACGTATGGGTTTATTCCAAAACAAACATGTTTAAACATGTCTCTCCCATCCGTGGATGGCTGCAGACACGTCCACGCAGTGACACACTTGACTTGGACTCACCGCAAACCCCGACTCATAGTGACTCTATGCGTTTCCGAGGCTGCCTCGGATCCCTCATCATGTCTCATGGAGTGGCTGTTGGATTCACACTGCTGGCCTTGTGGTTATCATTCCAACTTGTAACCCAAACCCAGGCTTATGGGTCACATAGAGACTCGTGGAACCCACGAGACTCTGGGCCTTAGTCATCCTTCAGGTCTGGAAATGAGCTTACCTCTGTGATTCAAGTTTTAGCCCAACAGTAGACGCGTCTACACGATGAACAACAACACGGGAGGGCCAGGCACGCCTCAGAATCATCAAAAGGGCAGCATTTGCCCCAAGACAAAGTTCAGAAGTCAGGAAGGGCTAGGAAAGGAGGAATGGGAATGGGACATACAGGGAAGAGGTGGGAGAAGTGGGAGTCCTCTGTGAGGACTGCAATCCGTGACAAGACCCAAAATGTGTCTGACTCACTGAATGGAAAACTCATTTGTTCTGTAAACTTTTACCCAATTCACAACAAAACATTTGAAAGAAATGAATAGAATGTGGAAAATACCCCGAAACCAATGACTTCCCAGGGGACTTGCTGGACAAGGCAGATAGGTCTGTTTACAGGGTGATGGTGACTGGTTTTGGGAATTCAAAAGGGTAATCTGAATTTTCTTGACGGTCACAGGTCAATCACAGAGGCTTAGAATGAAGAAGTTTGAGGAGAGCTGGAAACTGCATGGCTGAGGAAAAGGCCAGGGAAGTTGCGCTGAGAAATTTTCCCATTGTGACAACGCACCTGCTCTTCCTTTGAAGGCAGCAAGGGCTGTCCTGTGAGAATTTCATTGAGAAATCTTACTCCATCTACCTTACAACCCTGATCTTGCCCCTTAAGACATCTTTCTATTCTTCAAACTCAAAGAACATTGAAAAGGAACACAATTTGAGTCCCTCAAGGATGCTTAACTGCTATTTGACATGGAATCGATCAGCCACCAACTGTGCAGTTTAAGGCGCTTTCAGGCTATGCTTGACTATAATTACTCTCAGCCAATCAAAACAGTTATGCTTTCAAAAAGGGCTGTGTTTATGTCCTCTGGATTGGTAAAGCACACTGAAGAAGATACTAAAGTCACTGCGGGTGAAGATCAGCGGGCCAGAAGGAGAAGGTATCCAGAGGGCTGAACACAGGCCAGAGAGAAGTACCGAGGGAACGAGTGAGTGCGATGGTTCGGTGTATGATTCAGCTTGTCCAGCTGTTTGGTCAAATACAACTCTCCATGTTGCTATGAAGGTATTTGGATGTGATTAACATTGAATATGAGTGGGTCTCATCCAATCAGGTCTGGGCAGTACATTTGGTTAAGCACTGGACTACTAGTCAAAATATTGGGGATTCAGATCCACCCAGAGGTGCTTCAGCCTGGTGATCTACTTCTGAAGAATCAACCATTGAAAACTCCATGGGGCATAGATCTACCCAGACACATATGGGCTTCCCAGGAATTTGGCACTGATTCAACCACAACTGACAACTCATTCAATCAGCTGAAGGCATGAAGAACGGAAACCGAGGATTCCCAAAGAAGGAAGGGCTCTGCCACAGGCGGTAACAGATCCAGCTTGAGTCTGTAGCCTGCCCCAATATGGACAGTGGATTCAAGACGGAACATCAACTCTTACTTAACTTCTCAGTCATCAGACCTGCCCTGTGAAGTCTGGGCTTGCCAGCCTCCACAATTACATGAGTCAGTTCCTTATAATGAAATCTCTCTCTCTCTCTCTCTCTCTCTCTCTCTCTCTCTCTCTCT